CATCCGTTTTGGCTTTGAATCGCCACATGGTACTCAGTAGATGCGCCTCGTCCGGCATCTCACTCTCGTCAATCAGCTCAAAAACATCCTTCTTGAACATTGCATTGACCTCACGCTCCATTCCCTCTAGCCACTCACGACTTTGAGGCGAGCGCATAGCCTCTGGAAAGCTTCGAGGTATCTTAACATCCTTGATGTGCCATCGATCTTCTTCAGGTCCAAAATCTGATTCTTTGACTGATTCTCTTCTGCAAAAGCTTGCATAGAGATGGTAGTCTCCTAGACGGTAAGGAACATGACGCTCAGATTCCGATCGAAGGATCATTCGCTGGGGCTGTCCTCCGGCGTTTTTCAGTCGCTTGTGCTCTTGCACATCTTCGAGTTCAGCTTCCAGCGAAGAACGTAGATTACCAGTGAGTACTTCCGGCTCCATCACAGTGTCTATTCCGTTGCCGGCATCAACTGCAATGATCTGGTTATCCACTTCTTCTTGAAGTCCCGTGGATTCACGCCGCAGTGCGAATACATCTCCCGCATCCTCTTCAGTAGGGTCTGTTGCATACTGAGCTTCATAGCGCTCAAGATGCTCGCAGTCGTAGGTATCCACTATATCCAGTCTATCCCACGGCGAATGCAGCGTCCAATCACATTCAGCAGGTGAACTACCTTCTCCCTTGTGATTCTCGCATTCTTCACTGGAAACTTGACCTGGATCACCATCATGCTCGAAGAGTTCATCAGTATCATGAGGCTCTTCGCACATTTGGCTCTCTAGCTCAGATGACGGCGAGGGTTCCACCTCCATGGCCTCATCATCACTATTAGCAGGATCATCGATCATAGTCTCGCCTGATCCGCTAAGATCTTCGCTCTCTTCAGTCTTCTCCTCCGGGGCATTATCTCCATTCACATGAACTTCAGCTTGTTGACCAGCGTCTTGAGCTGTTACTTCCGTTAGATCTTGAGACTTTTCTGGTATTTGAGAAGAGACGTCGGGCTGTGACATCGTTTCGTCTTCACTAGCACGACTTACTTCT